TAATATATTTATATATATTTTTGCGGATAGCTGGAAAAATTGCAAAAGTTAGAACACGCAAAAATTTTGTTAACACACGGTACACGAAATCATTTTCTTGCCTTATTTTTCAAACCTCTTTCGGTGTCAATTGAGGATGTATTAAAAGCCTTTCGGCGGTTTGTTCAGTCTTCAATTCTTTGTTAATACTGCTCGATGTGGTAAAATTCTACTACCTGTATCATGATATGCCAAAATGGTCGTGTGGGTATCAAAGTAAGATAAGAGAAGAGAACAAGACGTGCAATATTTTTATTACGAGTCTTATACCAGCTGGATATACCATGACAAACCAAGCATGACGTTCCTTGTGGGTATCAATATAAGACAAGATAATATTTTTATTTGTAGTCTTATACCAGGGTACATCAACGTTTTCCAAATAATTCAAATTATACCATGATATACCATGATATACCAAATGTTCCTTTTGGGTATATAAAACAAGAAAAGACAATATTTTTATTCGGAGTCGTATACCAGCTGGAACCATGCATGCGTACATCAAAATTGTCCAAATAGTTCAGAATTACAATACATTAATTGCACTATATATATATATAATAAGCTATTAATAATTAACAGACGAAAAAATGTTTTTTTATCGATCGTCCACAGAAATAAACCAATCCTGAGGCCAATAGGCTTACTTGATTGATGGCAGTATAGAGCTGGCATGTGATTAAATCAGTTTCTAAGAGTTCCACTTTAAGTTGTTTGACGCGCTTCAGGCGTCATCTTTTCGTTCAGTTTTTGTCAGTGTTTGCGTCACTGGAGAAAACAAATTTGCCAATACAGACTTAATTTCATAGATTGAACTTTGCAGATGACCTTGAAACTCTTTTGCGGACGTCCACGGAATCGTAATTAGTGTCTACTTAATAAAGAAGACCGCTAAATAAACAGGATTGTTTGGCAGAAAATATGGAGAGAAAAGTACAGTGTCCGCTTTCTAATTGAGACTGTTTATACCCAACTTGATAATTTGTAACTTAGAAGTATTCTGATACAATACCCGGCCTGCTTACCTTGTGGTTTTGTTTAGTGAGCGCGTAAAGTAGCGGCGCGGTTTCTTCCTTGCTGGAGCTCCCTACCTTAACCTTCCCCACAAAACTACGACTCAGGTTGTGATATAACGATTCTTTCAATATCAACTGTACGTCTGCAGATAATGAAAACTTACTATAGAAATATATATTACTCCTTGCACAATTTCCGTATTTAAGGGTGTTAATTAAATGGGTTTTGAGGCGTGAGCGCGAAGCACGAGACACGCCAGAGGTGGAAAAAAAGAAAAATAACTCCTTTCTTTCCTCTCGCATGTTTCGCTCTTCGCGCTCGCGCCGAAGAACCCGCTAGAACGCCCCCAACAACGCCTGCGCAGGCTACATATATTGGTTTGTCGCTTTTTTGCAGAGCACTTATCGCCGCTTCTTTCAGTATACTTGTCCAAGTGTACGACGTCATTTCCTTCGTGAGACTGACCGCCCGAGATCTGTCTGTACGTGTTTATTTCCACGATTTGTTTACGCAAGGTAAAGTAATTATTTTCGATCAAGACGTGATGAAATACACGTATCCGACTTGCCTACTTACCAACTCTCGGTGGAGGTAAAGGCCCACACAATCTGTATGTGTAACCGATTTTATAGTCAATGTACTGGATGTACCGTTTGCTTCACCTATAGCGATATATTGCTAAGTATGTATATTAATAAAAGTTAAATAGACGTTGAATTACCTTAACGATGGTATATTATCGTCCTTTTGCCTGAAAAGCGGTTTTTTTGAGCGATTTTGAAGGATTTTGAGTTCGCCGTTTACTCAAACCAAGTCATCCACTGTTACTTTTTAGTAAACCTAAACCTAGAATTGAAGAGAGGGGACCGAATCCAAATTCAGAGAGACGGAGATGGAGATGATGTTTTGCTCATAAAACCTATTGTATTTTAGACGTTCCCGTTGTCATCGCTGTCGTCAGTAGTTTCGTACGGTCCCTAATAAGGCACAGGACGAAACCTTTAGAGCTAATCGTTCCTTCTTCCTTTGTAACTTTAGCGGAGAAGGTAAAATCATTACTTTCCAGTTAACAACTACAACTATGGGCTTCTGCATGCATGGATCGTCGTTACACTCCTTTTAGACTTGATGAAAAAAGAGTTAATTAATCCTGTCATAGTGATATAATAAACGACGATTCAATTTACAGGATGTAGGAACAAATGTTTACACACAAGCCGGTTCGATCGATGGAAGCGAAAGGTCCTGTGTAAAAAATTTTTTCCTGAACTGTAAATTGAATCGTCGTTTATTGTACACTCCTTTTAGTCATAATGACGATTTTAAATATCGAGCTTTATTAACACAGATGCTTTCAAGACGAAAAATTTCGATTCTCAATTATTACGGATCGATATGAATCACGAAACAGAAAGCTGGATTCACAAATATGATACAGTTTAACCTCCATATGCGGCCACCTCTCGTTAGTGACCGCGACCAATTTTTGGCAGTACGGTTTTTTTTTTTTTATTTTTAGTTACTTTTAACCTCTTGTAAGCGATCCCTTGACGTATGAATTGATATGGTTTCTCTTCGCTAAATGTACTGCGACGCTCACGAACAACATGAAACTACACTGATGTATAACTTAGAAATTGCATGCAATGAGTTATCTTCCAAAAAGTAGTAGTGTAGTTTGGACCCCTTTTTTTCCCTCTTTGTGGATTCTCGTAAGCGACCACTAGATTTTCGCATTTTCGGTGTTCGCTCATGGGAAGTTCAACTGTATTTTAATAGTCATCGTCATCCTTGGGCCATTGCTGTCGGAATGTGTTGGACAACATGCTCCAATGGACTTTTTCGACGATGAGGAGGCCATTTTGAAGCACAAAGGATTAAGGGCCGTCCAGGGGGCAAAATGAAAACAAAGATGGCGGATGGGTACAGTGGGTGCGTGAGTGCGCGAGTTTCTTGTTTTATTATGGGTAAAGATGATCGATGCGCTGTCTTTGGCTGTAAAAATGTATGACAGACGGTTTAAAGACAAGTATGTCATCAAGCCTCACATCCACTCTTCTGATGGAAGCAGCAAGCTACGATTTTGGAAATGCCGAAACGCAGATCACTACAAGAGCTGGACGAAGTTGTTGAACTGGCAAAACTATATATGCTGTAAATGCAAACAACAGGATTTGCTCAAATCATTTTAAGTTCGGTCGACCAACGGATGTTGACCCTCACTCAATATTATACCTGAGAGGATATAGTGAGCAAGTAGGCATTAAAAGGAAGCCGCCAGCAGATAGGTCCGTTTTTGCCTCTGCCGTCAACTGTTCAACTCATAAAACATGCCAAGCAAACTGTCACTGAAATGACTGAAACGAATACTCGTGATGAAAACAAAACTTCGTCGATGGCCAATATGGAAAATTGTAAATACAAGACAGTTGGTTGTCAAGTTTCAAGTAAATGTGACGGGAAGAAATGAAACGTCTTAAAGAGCACATTGGAAGTCTGAAGGAACAAATTCGAATTAAAGATCTTCAACCAACATCTACATTTACTTTTGACAGCAACAAACACTCAGATGCTGTCGAAAAAACTAAAAAAGGTATCATAACAAAGAAAGTACAAAACGGATTGCAATTGTGGTTTTTGACACTGTGATTTTGTCATTCATAAGTAATTTCTCAATTTTCAGGGCGAAAAGGGCCGCATAATTAGCAATTATTCCACGAGTGCGGGTTGGATATGAGATGGTAATAGCCAACGAGGCGCGTAGCGCCGAGTTGGTTTTAGCTATTATCATCTTATCTCCAACACGCGCGAGTGGAATAATTGTTTTATTAAAAACGCCCACAAAATATCGAGAATTCTTCCCGACTATATCTGTAAAAACAACCAATTTTCAGCTTGTTTTCAATTTTGAGCAGACGCGTACAGTTAGCATATTTGGAGAGCATGGTATAATGGCTCATATACCATGATGGCTAAGCCTGAATCAGAGCTCTCGAATTGCATTATCCAATTATTCAGTTTTTAATAATTTGTGTTATTTTGCCGAAAATTCTTCCATATTTACTTATGGAAAGGAATTATGTCTTCTTGCAGTCTCTGCAAAACTACTACTGGTAGATTTGAAGCTGCAGCAGAAGTAGCCAACGTATTACATGTATCATCTGCATGTATGTCTACGGTTGATAAGGAAACTACATGAGGAAGATCGTTCAAAAAGATGATGAATAGTAATGGCCCCAAGACCGATTCTTGGAAAACCCCATGTGTGATAAAGTCTGTATATAGTGCATGCTCCCCGTCGATAACAACAGTCCCTTCTACCATTCAATTAGCCCTTGAGGAGTTTTTCTGATGTTGTACACCGTTTATGCCTCAAGCTTTGACAAAACGCTGTCATGGTCAAAGAAGTCAAAGACCTTTTTGCGCTGCCACACCCCACTCTGATGTGATCTTTGTCCATGTCTAATATTTAACCGATTGATTAAGCGAGTGAGGGCTGTCTCGGTAGAATGTGATCTACGGAATCCGGAATGCAAATTGTTTAGCAAGTCACTACTTACTCATATAGACGTACAACTCATGGTGAATATGCTTCCCACAAATTAAAAGAGCAAAGGGTACTGTTTTACCATGTCGAAAAAAGGGATCACCAAAAAGGCGAGGTTAATGCAAATAATGCCAAAAGCCTCGAATAATTTAGGTTCTAACTATTTAATCACAAAACCAGATAAAAATTTATCAATTATCAGCCCAGCTGAGAACTTGGCTTTCTTGTACTATTATCTAAATCATACAAGGAACACAAAAGACATACTCTGTTGCATCGTCTCTAGATGAGACTCTTTTAAAATAAAATTTCACTTCTTTACAAGTTGGCATATCAAAATATTTATTCAGGTGATAGAAAAACTCTTGTTTAGCATGAGCGAAAATCTGTAGTTGGACGGGTATTTTTACGCAGTATCCGGCTCGTCATCCATTCATTCTAAATACATGTACTCTTGAGAATGGAATTGAACAATCCCTTCTTCAAATGGAATAAACTAAAGTAAAGAAAGAAATATTCTTCTTTCAGACTCATCATGTTAAAAAAAGTATACAAACAGGTTCTAGCCTCCATAGTGAAAGAAATTTTAGGTCGCCCATCGCCAATCTTCCTACTGTTTAAGAGGCATTTGGTCCATAATGACACCCAATGTTCAAGAAGCTAAAATGTGCAATTGTTTACCATGTTTGAGACCCGATACTCTTGAAACCATACCCTGTTCAGCGGCATGTACCTATCTAGGCCAAGTTAGGGAGTCCTCTTTCCCTCCGTGTGGGTCGATCCACTTTCAGTCATTTTGAGTTGAATCATCCTCGTGCTTCACAAGTGCCACAGGTACGTAACCTTCGCTGACGCGTATGTTTAGTTTGCGAGCTAGTATTAGCCCTATTTGCTCCTTGAAATGCAACATTAACAAACCAATAGCAATTCCAATACAGGGAAACAGGGTTAAATTCACTGTCACGGCGGTACTGGGTGCTTCGTTTGCAAGAGTCACCTGATCGGGATGTCTTGACGTATGGAAACAATGGTAAGATGAGTTCATCAAGCCCCATTTTTCACGAAAACGCTCCACATGTTTGTAAACGTCATTCTTCGTTTTACAGTCGTAGTCCCGAAGCTTGTACGAACACGTTTCTGAGATCCGTCGTCGATCATTCACGACCAAAGCTTCCCGCGTTGAGAAATGGTCGAATGAAACGTAGATTTGAAGGCAAGGGTAATAAATCAAACACTTTGATTCGCTTTTGAGCTCTTTACAGCGGCAATGAAGTTTCTTGCCAGGATCCATGTTCAGAAATGTTTTCTTGACCTTACAGGTTCCTGCATGGTATTGCAGGCTTTCAAGTTTTGGCAGAGTCACTGTAACCATTACAATAAGGAGAGTTAAGCCTGAGGAGACTAAAATTGCGTTGCCCAGTTTTTTCACCCTCTTGACAATTTTAACTTGAGGAGAGTTGTCGTTTAGATGCCGAGTCATCATTCACATTATTTAAAATGGCGGCATTCACTAGATGTGAGCCTCGTTTGACTTGCCTATTGGAGAGATCAAACAGAAGTGTATTTAAATGGCACACTGTAGATAAAACGCCCGGCCGGTAATCCTTATAATGGCCTATACGGGGAGGCTCCGCCCGAAAGGGGTACCTTTTTCAGGCTTCAGGTCAGCATGAAAGGGTAGTGATTCCACTGGTTGAAGTATTTGAAAGGGTAGGAAATCTGCCATTTAAGTTCGTAAAGAGGCTCAAAAGGGCTAACAGATGCTTTTTGTGGTTTAATACCGAGCCGATTTTATGGATCTTGTTGGAACCAGCTGTTTGTTGTCTCTATAAATGGCCGTGAATCGGCTCGAGAACCACACAGGAAAGAAGAAACACACAACCTTTTAAAAGTTGTTCAAATCCTTTCACATTCGTTGGCTACAGAAACAATCATTTTTCTTCCATATAAAACCTTTTATTTCGAACGTGTCGTATCCAACATGCAGTGCCGATGATTTCAAGCTTGGGTGACCTGTGGTGAAACTATATGTTTGCGGAAAAATACAGATGTATTTTTATCCCTAAATTGTCTGTATCAGGTCTGTATATTTTTTGCCCATGTTAGAATTTTATTGTAGGTTGGCATATTTTATCGCGAGTTGAGCTCTGTCGTATTACCTCTAAAACCGGATTTCATCGGCTAATAATTGAATACAAACCTTGAATACAGAAATAAAACTTCAAGTCAGGACTCTAGTTTCCTCACAAGCAGGAAATTGAATTTGATTTCAAGGAACGTGTTTTAATTGAAATGAATAGGCTATATAATGTTACCTTTTACTCTGTACGTGCGTATTTGTAATCTTTTGAAATGCCTTATTAGGCCAGTACTTGTAATTTTAACAGAAAGGCAGTGCCTACCGATGTGAAAGGCTTTTACGGGCATATTACGTATTTTTCCACGCGGAACTTTTCTCGCAATTTCGCTGCTCTATTTACCTTTTCGTGTCATTTCATTGCCGTATTCAACGTTACCAAAATATTACCATAACATTCGGCAGAAACGGCAAAGTGGAACGCGTAAATCAATACAATATTTCAGCCACTTTAAATAAATAAGAATTTCATTGAAAATTCAAAGCAAAGCTTGTTTCTTTGCCAGGCGGAAAAGCAAGTTTTCGTCTTCAAAAAAAAATACTACTACTTACCGTCGACCACCACTATCCCACTCAACAATTCTTTCTGTAGACTTGAATATTTAGGTATGTTTTTGTATCTCCAAAGCAGTTTAGTAGATAACGCAACACAATATTGCTTTTCGCTGCCTCACGGCATGCAAAATTTTACATTTGCATAAAATGTAACTAAGAAAGACAGAGATAAAATTGTTTAAATTAGCAATTTATCTATAAATGAAATTTAAAAAAGTAGTTCGAGGGACGAATAATTTTAAGATATGTAGTTACCTGGCGTGAACAAAAAACTGAGTATATTTCTCGACAATTTATGATCAAAGTGAAGACTTGTTAGAGGGGGGTTTGAAGAGTAGTCTTTTCCACTAATGCGATGGAAGGACAATCTGAACATCTGTCTTTACATTGTTTTCGTCCGCTTCATCTTCCTTGGAAACCGTAGTACTCCTCTATTGTTGGCGAGTATCGAATAAACATTACTATCAGAACATATCAGGGAAACCTCGTAAACGATATAATTCATTTGAACACAATTTGAGCAAACGATTGGAATACGAAAATTTAGCAAGTTGTTCTCTGAGGTCACTAAGATTAGTGAATATTTATAATTCCCAGTAAGACCATCGAATCATTGAAGCATTTCAACGACTCACCGGTCGATCCTTAGATCCTTGTAAGTCCTACAAAGCTTATGTCGGCAGTTAACTGTAAATTTAATCGGCTGTCGCAAAAACAAAGCGCTGCTTGAAACATATCAAAAAGTTCCATCGCTATATAAAAATATAGCCGTAGCTGAAGGATAAAACTCATTTGCATCAAACGTGATTTCTTTTCCATAGAGCTATAACTAGTCGTGAGTTAAAGAGCCTTAACGGGCAGTCCCCTTTCAATTCAACTGTGACTACATCGGTATTTTAATGTAATTCTCCCCAGTTGAACTCACATTTAAGAAAGGATTGATTCTATTACGTCATTTTTAACTTCCAAAAGAAAGGAAATAAAAGCAAGAGAGATCTTTTGGCACGGTTTCAAACCGGCTGAAATCGCATGCTATTTATCTCAGAGTAGAATTTATTAAATTAGACGAAAAAGTGAAACGAGATTGGAGCAAGAGCCCATGGAGCAGGGTTATGGGCTCCCGATTGAGGTAAGAAATCAAAACCAGATCATAAAAAATACTTACACTAAAGCCTGACGCCTTATGTTTTGACGGAAGTCTGTGAAGGTAAGATTAGATGAGCCTTCAGGAAATATTTTGAATAAAGAATAGAATGGTTCTTCGCGGATGATGTAAAGAATTAATCCGCCTCAACTTCGGATTAACCACATAACACTCCTCGATCTTCGACTTTCACAGTATATCTGATCATACCCATGTCACACATACCCCTTGTTCCCCCTGTTACCCCTTGTTACCCCTTGTTACCCCTGTTACCCCTTGTTACCCCTTGTTACCCCTTGTTACCCTTGTTACCCCTTGTTACCCCTGTTCCCCTTGTTACCCCTTGTTAACCTTGTTAAATAAATAATAAATAATACTTACACTAAAGCCTGTCGCCTTATGTTTTGACGGAAGTCTGTGTAGAGGTAAGATTAGATGAGCCTTCAGGAAATATTTTGAATAAAGAATAGAATGGTTCTTCACGGATAATGTAAAGAATTAATCTGCCTCAGCCTTCGGAATCAGCAAATAACACTCCTCCATCTTCGACTTACACAGTATATCTGATCATACCCATGTAACACATACCCCTTGTTCCCCTTGTTACCCCTGGTTACCCCTTGTTACCCCTGTTACCCCATGTTCGCCCTTGTTCCCCCTTGTTACCCCTTGTTACCCCTGTTCCCCTTGTTATCCTTTGTTACCCTTGTTAAATAAATAATAAATAATACTTACACTAAAGCCAGTCCCCTTATGTTTTGACGGAAGTCTGTGTAGGGGTAAGATTAGATGAGCCTTCAGGAAATATTTTGAATAAAGAATAGAATCGTTCTTCACGGATGATGTAAAGAATTAATCCGCCTCAGCCTTCTAAATCGGCACATAACACTCCTCGAACTTCAACTTACACAGTATATCTGATCATACCCATGTCACACATACCCCATAATACCCCTTGTTACCCCTGGTTACCCCTTGTTACCCCTTGTTACCCCTTGTTACCCCTCGTTACCCCTTGTTACCCCTTGTTACACGTTGTTACCCTTGTTACCCCTTGTTACCCCTTGTTACCCCTTCTTACCCCTTGTTACCCTTGTTACCCCTTCTTACCCTTTGTTACCCCTTGTTACCCCTTGTTCCCCTTGTTACCCCTTGTTACCACTTGTTCCCCTTGTTACCCTTTGTTACCCTAGTTACTCCTTCTTACCGCTTGTTCCCCATGTTACCCCTTGTTCCCCCTGTAACCCCTTGTTACCCTTTTTTATCCCTTGATACCCCTGTCACCCCCTGTTACCCCTTGTTACTCTTTGTTTCCCCTGTTCCAGCTGTTACCCTTGTTACTCCTTGTTACCCCGTACCCCCTCTTACCCTTGTTACCCCTTGTTACCCTTTGTTACCCCTTGTTACCCCTTGTTCCCCTTGTTACCCCTTGTTACCACTTGTTCCCCTTGTTACCCTTTGTTACCCTAGTTACTCCTTCTTACCGCTTGTTCCCCATGTTACCCCTTGTTCCCCTGTAACCCCTTGTTACCCTTTTTTTATCCCTTGATACCCCTGTCACCCCTGTTACCCCTTGTTACTCTTTGTTTCCCCTGTTCCAGCTGTTACCCTTGTTACTCCTTGTTACCCCGTACCCCTTCTTACCCTTGTTACCCCTTGTTACCCTTTGTTACCCCTTGTTACCCCTTGTTCCCCTTGTTACCCCTTGTTACCACTTGTTCCCCTTGTTACCCTTTGTTACCCTAGTTACTCCTTCTTACCGCTTGTTCCCCATGTTACCCCTTGTTCCCCCTGTAACCCCTTGTTACCCTTTTTTATCCCTTGATACCCCTGTCACCCCCTGTTACCCCTTGTTACTCTTTGTTTCCCCTGTTCCAGCTGTTACCCTTGTTACTCCTTGTTACCCCGTACCCCTTCTTACCCTTGTTACCCCTTGTTACCCTTTGTTACCCCTTGTTACCCCTTGTTACCCCTGTTCCCCTTGTTATCCTTTGTTACCCTTGTTAAATAAATAATAAATACCCCTTGTTCCCCCTGTAACCCCTTGTTCCCCCTGTAACCCCTTGTTACCCTTTTTTATCCCTTGATACCCCTGTCACCCCCTGTTACCCCTTGTTACTCTTTGTTTCCCCTGTTCCAGCTGTTACCCTTGTTACTCCTTGTTACCCCGTACCCCTTCTTACCCTTGTTACCCCTTGTTACCCTTTGTTACCCCTTGTTACCCCTTGTTACCCCTGTTCCCCTTGTTATCCTTTGTTACCCTTGTTAAATAAATAATAAATACCCCTTGTTCCCCCTGTAACCCCTTGTTACCCTTTTTTATCCCTTGATACCCCTGTCACCCCCTGTTACCCCTTGTTACTCTTTGTTTCCCCTGTTCCAGCTGTTACCCTTGTTACTCCTTGTTACCCCGTACCCCTTCTTACCCTTGTTACCCCATGTTACCCCTTCTTACCCCTTGTTACCCTTTGTTACCCCTTGTTACCCCTTGTTCCCCTTGTTACCCCTTGTTACCACTTGTTCCCCTTGTTACCCTTTGTTACCCTAGTTACTCCTTCTTACCGCTTGTTCCCCATGGTACCCCTTGTTCCCCCTGTAACCCCTTGTTACCCTTTTTTATCCCTTGATACCCCTGTCACCCCCTGTTACCCCTTGTTACCCTTTGTTTCCCCTGTTCCAACTGTTACCCTTGTTACTCCTTGTTACCCCGTACCCCTTCTTACCCTTGTTACCCCTTGTTACCCTTTGTTACCCCTTGTTACCCCTTGTTACCCCTGTTACCCCTTGTTACCCCCTGTTACTCCTTGTTACCTTTTGTTACCCTTGTTACCCCTTGTTACCCTTGTTACCCGTTGTTACCCCTTGTTATCCTTTGTTACCCCTTGTTACCCCTTGTTACCCTCTGTTACCCCTTTTCACCATTCTTCCCCTCGTTACCCCTTAATACCCTTTGTTACCCTTGTTACCCCTCGTTACCCTTGTTACCTCTTGTTACCCCTTGTTATCCCTTGTACCCCCTGTTACCCCTTGTTATCTTTTGTTACCCTTGTTACCAGTTGTTACCCCTTGTTACCCTTTGTTACCCCTTGTTACCCCTGTTACCTCTTGTTACCCCTTGTTAACCCTTGTTACCCTTGTTACCCCTTGTTACCCCTGTTACCCCTTGTTCCCCTTGTTACCCCTTGTTACCCCTTGTTACCCCTTGTTACCCTCTGTTACCCCTTTTTACCATTCTTCCCCTCGTTACCCCTTAATACCCTTTGTTACCCTTGTTACCCCTTGTTACCCTTGTTACCTCTTGTTACCCCTTGTTATCCCTTGTCCCCCCTGTTACCCCTTGTTATCTTTTGTTACCCTTGTTACCAGTTGTTACCCCTTGTTACCCTTTGTTACCCCTTGTTACCCCTGTTACCTCTTGTTACCCCTTGTTATCCCTTGTTACCCTTTGTTACCCCTTGTTACCCCTGTTACCCCTTGTTACCCCTTGTTACCCCTTGTTACCCTTTGTTACCCCTCGTTACCCCTGTTACCCACTGTTAACTTTTGTTACCCTTGTTACCCCTTTTTACCCCTTGATACCCTTTGTTACCCCTTGTTACCCCTGTTACCCCTTGTACCCATTGTTACCCCTTGTTACCCCTTGTTATCCCTTGTTAACCTTGTTATCCCTTTATGCCTTGTTACCCTTGTTACTTCTTGTTACCCCTTGTTACCCTTTGTTACCCCTTGTTACCCCTGTTACCCATTGTTAGCTCTTCTTACCCTTGTTACCCCCTGTTACCCTTGTTACCCCTTGTTACCCTTGTTACTTTTGTTACCCCTTGTTACCCTTTTTTACCACTTTTACCTCTTGTTCAACTTGTTACCCCTTGTTAACCCTGTTACCCCTTGTTCCCCTTGTTACCCCTTGTTACCCCCTGTTAACCCTGGTTTTCCTTGTTCCCTTTGTTACCCCTTATTACCCCTTGTTACCCTTGTTACCCTTGTTACCCTTGGTTACCCCTTGGTACCCCTTGTTACCCTTTGTTACCCCTTGTTACCCCTGTTACCCCTTGTTACCCTTGTTACCCCTTGTTACCCTTTGTTATCCCTGTTACCCATTGTTACCCTTTGCTACTCCTTCTTACCCATTGTTACGCTTTGTTACCCCTTGTTACCCCTCTTTCTCCCTGTTACTCCTTGTTACCCTTGTTACCCCTTGTTACCCCTGTTACCCCTTGTTACCCCTTGTTACCTTTTTTTACCCTTGTTTCCCCTTGTTACCCTTGTTACTCGTTGTTACCCCTTGTTACCCTTTGTTACCTCTTGTTACCCCTGTTACCCCTTGTTACCCCTTGTTATCCCTTGTTAACCCTGTTACCCCTTGTTACCCCTTGTT